ACGTAACAAGTCACGTGACGTGACGCTGCGGCTGTGATTGGTTCGGCTCTGCGCTAGTTAATTTGGATTGGCTGTTGTTCTTTTTTTTTTCTTTTTTAAGAGGACAAGAGCGGCGAGGTCTATCGCAATAGTTTAATTTTTCTATCGAGAAAAAGTTATATGGCGATACATATCGTTATCGTTCTATCGCCCAGCTCTAGAGAGAAGTAAACATGGAGAGAGAGAGAAAGAAATGAGGAGGTAGAGATGGAAAGCAGTTTGAAAGAAGAGTGGATAGAAAGATAGAGAACCAAACAAAGAGGAAGAGAAGGAAATAACTAAGAGAGAAATAAACAAGGAGGGCGAGAAGAAATTAAGGAGAGGTTGAAGCCAATGAGGAAGGAGAGAAGAAGAAAGGAAGTAGAAGATAATGAAATGACGTGTTAATAAGGAAAGAAAGAAAACATTTCCTCGTTTCAGTATCTGCGTCTTTTTCTCCTTTTCTTCCCTACCTACTTGTCTCTCTGTCCACCTCTTCTACAGGTGAAACTCGAAAAATTTGAATATCATGTTCAATTATTTCATTAATTCAACTTAAAAGGTGAAACTAATGTACTATATAGACTCATTACATTCAATGCTAGATATTTCCAGCCTTTATTTCTTACTAATTTGGTGATTATGGCTTATAGTTTATGAAAACCCCAAATTCAAAAGCTCAAAAAATTAGAATATTGTTCAATATTTTAGGCTCAAAGTGTCACACTCTAATCAGCTTATTAAACCAAAACACCTGCAAAGGGTTCCTGAACCTTGAAATGGTCTCTTAGTCTGGTTTAGTAGGAATCACAATCATGGGGGAGACTGCTGACCTGACAGTTGTGCAGAAAACCATCATTAACACATTCCATAAGAAGGGAAAGCCTCAAAAAGCAATTGCATAAGAAGTTGGGTGTTTCTGAAGTGCTATTTCAAAGCACATTAATAGAAAGTTATGTGGAAGGGAAAAGTGTGGAAGATAAAGGTGCACTGTGCTTTGTTAAGTCCAGAGTAAATGCAGCCGTCTACCAGGACATTTTGGAGCACTTTATGCTTTCTTCTGCCGACAAGCTTTATGGAGATGCTGACTTCATTTTGCAGTAGGAATTGGCACCTGCCCACACTGCCAAAAGATCCAAAACCTGGTCTAATGACCGTGGGAATGCTGTGCTTGATTGGTCAGCAAACTCACCTGACCTGAAACCCATAGAGAATCTATGGGGCATTGCCAAGAGAAAGATGAGAGACATGAGACTGAACAATGCATCCTGGTCTTCACAGCACCTCAGCAGTGCCACAGGCTGATAGCATCCATGCCACGCTGCATTGAATCAGTAATTCATGCAAAAGGGGCCCAAACCAAGTACTGAGTACATAAGCATGATTATACTTTTCAGAGGTCTGACATTTCTGTATTTAAAATCCTTGTTTTATTGATTTCATGTAATATTCTAATTTTCTGAGATTTTGGGGTTCTCATAAGCTGTAACCCATAATCATTAAAATTATAACAAATAAAGGGTTGAAATATCTTGCTGTGCAATGTCTATCCTATATTAGGTTCAGCTTTTAAACTAAATGATTGAAATAAATGAAATTTTGCACGATATTCGAAATTTTCAAGTTCCACATGTATTTCTCCTCCCTTTTTCCATCCGCCCTCAGCCAGGTTTCAAAGCTCAGTCCCAGCATTTTATGAACCTGTGTGTTGTCTCTGTAATTACATTCACCTTGTTGTACCAAATTGTCCTTCTTTTTCCTCTTTTGCCATAGAAACGTGGTGGCCACAAGAGACCCAGACATCATGGCTCCCAGCACCATGACAACGCCTCAAACAAGAATCGGAAGATTCACATGGATGACAAACAGTACAGCTGTGATCAATGCCCATCCACTTT